GGAAAATTTCGAGTAGAATGAGGCTTGACCTAAACTAAAGAGAAGTAATAATAAAGCTTCCAAGCTTTCATTCCATAAGCAATAAAAGCTTCCAAGATGCGCTTTTTGCATACATATTTTGGATATAAACATATCTGTTTGGCATTTATTTAGATGCTAGTATACAATATCCTTTCATTGTTATATAAACTTTAATATTTATATGGTGTAGTATGTGCAAAAAAAGAAAATGATCAGATGGGCGTGTGTTGTGATTATAGCAAGACAAAAAAAGAAGGCATAATCTTAGATAGATTAGAAAAAACGTTGTATCAAACGTTTGTTAGAAAAGATTCAAATAATTTAGGTATCAACATGTAGAGTGGTAGCACCTTAAGTAGAAAATGGTTGTGGTAGAAGTAAGAAAATTTGAAGAGTGCCTTACATATTGTATAAATGAGCTTTAGTTAGAAAAAAATGCTCTCGATTGTTTATATTAGAGAAACAGCTTAAAAGAGGAAGGCTAAAGCCAGATGATGATAATGGTGATAATAAAGATGATGATGATGATGATGATAATGATGATGATCATCATCATCATCATTATCATCGTCAAGCTTTCCTCTTTTATGCTGTTGATGATGATGATGATGATGATAATGATCATGAAGATCATGATGATGATGATAAAAATGATGATGATGATCATGATGATAATTATGATTATGATGATCATATTGATCATAATGATGTTTATATATGCATATATATTAACTTAATTTCTCTGCGCAGCAGCCTTGCTTGTCAAGGTTCGTGTTTCAGATTTAAAGAGTTGAGAGAGGGTAGTATTACGATTTACAACAAAAATAAAAAAATCAAAAAAATGAGTAACCTCCTCGACTGTAGTGACCTCTTTGGGCCTTGGGGAGGCCCAAGGGGGTCTTAAAATTAAATATATATGTGTATATATATGTGTGTATATATATATATATATATATATATATATATATATATATATTATATATATATATATATATATATATATACAGTATCGAACAAAACAAGTGCAACCAAATAATGCTAATTTAGTTTCCTTATATGAAAGTGCCGCATTTTTTCATCTTAGAGAAATAACTATGTAACTGTTTAGAGACAAAGTTCTTCAAGTTTTATTCATCACAAAGTTCATTACTTGTACACGAAAATTAATAAATTAATCAAAAGTATTAAAAATATTTGATTTCCTTCTGGACAAAACAAGTGCAACTCCACAAAATGTTGACCAAGCTGTATTTCGCTAATAATATTTCGTAGCGAATCCTTTGAATTCGATCACAGCCTTGCATTTTCGAGGCATAGATTCGATCAGGTGATCAATGAAACTTTGTGGAATCGCTGCCCAGGCCCTTTGGATTTGTTCAAACAGTTGATTCTTATTACGAACACCTTCATGATTAATTCTGCGGTTGACTATTTCCTACAGGTTCTTGATAGGGTTGAGATCCGGAGATTGAGGCAGCCAATCCATCGTCGATAGGTGGTTGTCTTGAAACCACTACTTGACTACTTTTGCAGTGTGTTTCGGCTCGTTGTCTTGCTGAAAAACCCATTTTATTGGCATATTCCATTCAGCATGAGGTAACATAACATCTTTCAGGATATTTTTATACATGAAACGGTCCATTATTCCATTGATTCGATGTATGGGACATAGACCGTTAGCAGAAAAACACCCCAGACCATTACATTGCCTCCACCATGCTTCACGGTCTTATGGCAGTAATATAAATCAAGGCGTTTTCCGGCTGGTCGCTCCCAATGATGTTGAACTTCAATTTATCACTGAACAGGACAGTTTGCCATTTCTGCACATTCCAGTCAATATGAGCTGTAGCAAACAGGAGTCTTTTCTTCTGGTTTTTTAGTGAAATCAGCGGTTTCTTTGCAGGGCGTTGAGAAAACAATCCGGCTTCAACAGCACGTCGTCTGACTGTTTGGTCCGATACAGGCAACTCTAACTGCTTTTGTATCTTGACTGATAATATCTAGGGATCCTTCTTGATGGATCTGACGATCATAGAATCCTCTCTAGAAGTGGTGGAATGCGGTCTTTTACCTTTGTTATCTGCTGCCAACTTCCCCGTAAAACGATATTTGGAACATAGTCTTGATATGGTCCATTTATTCACGCAATATTTATCACAAATACTTTTTTGTGACATTCCACTTACGTAATCGCCAATAATTTTCTTTCTTAGTTCCAATCCAAGACTGTCGGGAGCCATTTTTGCACTTGAAGTCATACAAATAATAAAAATAAATAATCACGCTTCTCAAGGCTTACCGTGTTACATTTACCTTGTGATGATACAATAATGCTCTGTGGAACATAACATCTTGGTTGGATGTGGACTGTATTGATGTAATGAAACACTTGTTGTATTTCACTTCTTGCATTGATGTTCTTCGATAAAACACTTTGATAAAACTCACTTCGATAAACTGTCTTGATAATACTGACTGATTGACTTCCATATACTGACTGAATTACATATCGGTTTACATGTCTCTTATATAGTAAAATGAACCTGTGTGAACCTGTTCTAGAAGATTCTAGATGTTTCTTTTTGATGCTTCTGGAAGCTTCTGGATGCGTCTGGATGCTTCTGAATGTTTCTGGATGCTTCGTGATGCTTATGGATGCTTCCAGATGCTTCTTCTGGAAACTTCTGGATACTTTCTTTAATTATTAAAAAACTTCTGTGACGTTGACACGGACCAGAGTTAAGAAAGTGAAACAAACCAAAAAAGTTGCACTTGTTTTGTCCGCTGCAAAATGGCACTTGTCAACGAAATTCTGCCTGTGTGCTGTCACCTGTCAGCTGATTGCTTATGTCATGGCATGCTATGACTCCAGACTCCTGAACTGTTTGTTGTGGTAGTATAGTTTGTTTCGTTTTTAAGACATATAAAATTAGGAACACTTTTTAGCATTGTTCGTCGTTGGTTACAAATGTTTTGTCCTATACTGTATATATATATATATAAAATATAAATGCTCATAAAATTAAAATTCTTAATTTAAAAGTGAAAAAAATCCCATTCTCTAAATAAAGTTTGCCAGGTTAAAGTTTAATTAGTAATTCTAAAAGTTATTGAAAATTACTGTTTAAATTAAAATTAAATTAAAAACTAATAGAAAAATAACATAAAAAGTTATCATTTATTGTTTAAAACTTAAAATAAAATTCCCGTTATTGGTATAACAACGCGCTTGCATAACTGTGAAAACGTTTCATGGAAAAAACTTTTTGAGAATTGGGATTTTCTAAAAATCCCTAAAATCGTCGGAAAAAAATTCATTTTTCAAAATTTGCAAATAATTTTTTGTAATGCGTTCCAACAACAACTAATATTGTTAAAAAAAAGTTACCAGGAAATAAAGTACAATTTAAAAAGTTATAAATTGGTTTGGTTTAACACTTACAAATGCTATTTCTTTAAATGTTTTGCCCTTTTTGGCTGAAAAGTTAAATAAATGTTTTTTGATTATAAAAAACTGGTTCTAGAAATTAATTTAATGAGGAAAATAGATTTCTTTACTTTACTGTTAGCTTATATTTAAAACATAAATTAAATACGTATATTAAAACGTAACTTAAATACCTTTAATAACAAGAATGTTTTTTCTTATTACAACAAACTGGTACTAGAAATTTAAAAAAACAAGAAAACTAGATTCACTGCTTGCTTGAATTTAAAACATAAAAGCAAATTTTAATGTTAAAATAAACCATATTCATAATAACACTTTATGACTATCCATGGAAAAATAATTATTGGTATTCTTCTTTGCCACGATAACATGCAATCGCTTGCGAGCCTTTGTAATTCTTTTGTAATTAAACGATATTTGTTGTTGTTTTTGCTGAGATTTTGTAATTGTAACTTTATTTCGTTATGCGATTTATGTGTAAAGAAAGTTAATATTAGTCATAAAATTAAACTCGCATAATAGAATATATGAAATTTACGAGCTTGTGTTTACTATTTTCAAAATCTTTTTTATTTTTCTATTTTTAACATTTCTTTTGATGAAACAATTTATTACATGATGGTGTAAGGGTTTGTCTATAAAACACGTCAAATAGAATTTGAATAATAATTAGAAGTAGAAGATCATTAGCGGAAATTTTCATTGAACATAAATCGCTCTATTACTTTAAAAATCGCCCTTTAATGCCCACCAGTGAAAAAATATATATATATATTCAATAGAATACTCTTAACATGAAAGCGACAACGAGATATTAAGATTAAAAGTAATTTAAATATATTATTCCTAATAATATTTAATACACACTGATTGTTTTATAATACAAAAATATATAATTCTGAATATCTTTGGAAATTGGAGCTTAATTTGCCTTGTCGTTGCGAAACCATTTTTAATTTTGTGTTGATTTCATATTCATCTTCAATAAATGTTACAGGCGGTATTTTTCTATTTATTTTTGGTGCTGTCCAATAAATGTATGCAGTGCTAAAGTGGTGAAGAAGAAGAAAGAACATAAGAAATGGAATATTTGAAAAAAAAAATATATATATATATATATATTATATTATATATATATATTATATTATATATATATATATATATATATATATATATATATATATATATATATATATATATATATATATATATATATATATATATATATATATATATATTATATATATATATATATATTATATATATATATTATATATATATATATATATATATATATATATATATATATATATATATATATATATATATATATATATATATATATATATATATATATTTATACAAGTATTTGTGTGTGTGTATAGGTGCTGAAGACACAAGTATGTCATGATAGAGAATTATAGTAATTTTTTTCCTCTTTAGTTAAAAATTTAACTTGTTTAGACTTTCCTATATCAATAATAAGGATTAAAAAATCTTTTTTTTTTTTGTTTGTTTATTTTAGGATTACGATGGCAACATCCTTTTAATGGCTATTGTGTATTATTTAAATCCTTGCTCAACTGTTATTAAGCAAAACCCAGAAGTCATGCAGCTTGCTTCTATGAAGGAGACGAATATCTTGTTGTTGTGGTGGCCCCTCAAAAAAGCTTGTTGATATTATACACGCCAAACTGTAGTTTTTTTATGCATTTAATCTAGAGTATTCTTCTAGTTCAAAATCATTTTGGGAAATGTTGGCAGTCTATATTAAAAAAATCTTATTTTATCAATAAAGGCAAGTCAACTATTGAAATCATTAACTGTAAATAAACCATAAAGTCATTTTTAAAGATATTTTTTAATGAGTAAAACATAAACAGGAACATATTTTATGTACTTTATAAATAAATGTGTGTATGGTAATTTTCAAATGTTTTTTTGTTTGAAACTAGCCTGAAATAATCACAACAGTCTAAATAAATACTAAAACGGTGTGTATTAACGCTAAAAAGGTATACAGCCTGAAATATACCAAAACGGTGTAAGTTAAGTCTCAGCTACGCTGTTCTGCATTAATGTTCAAACTATAAAATACCTTCAGGAAATTTTATAATTTTTATAATCTTTCAACATTTTTAAAGTATAGTCAATATGACCTCTGACAAAAAAAATAATTGTTTATCATCGTATTTAATTTTTTTTTTTTATATACTGTTTATCTTTGCGGTAGGTATTTTCTTTGTGAATTCCATCTTAACGCTTATTATTTTCCAAAATTGTTTCTAATTCATACTTTTTGTTTTTTCATACCCAATTGAAAAAGTATATGTATGTATTATACCCAATTGAAAAAGAATCTTTAGAATACCTAGTTAATAACCTTTTTAAAACATAAAAAATCTTTTTCTAAAATAAATTTTAAAACATTCTAATTTTTTTTTAATTTGTATCCACCACAGCATCAATCCACCACAGCTACAACAAGGTTAAAAGCTCGAAATAAAAAATAAACAAAAAAAAGTAACAAAATAATAATATCTTTATATTATTTTGTTTAAGTTATAACTCAAAATTGGTTTAAATGGTTAAAACATTGTTAATAAAATTTTTAAAATTCTTTGATGTTATTAAAGTTTGCTAAAGAAATAAAGAAAAAAAGTAAAATTTAATATTTAATTCTTTTAGACTCTCTTCTTTATAAAGTTTTTAAAATTTAATGTGCTTTAGCGAGTTAACATAGATTAGACGAAGATTAAAAAATCGCAAGGTTAGAATTATTTTGTTCTCCACTTTTCGAAAATTTTTAGATATTGTTTTTGTTATCTACCTAAAATAATGTTTTTCTACAATAGTGAAACCTTGAGGTAAAACTTGAGGAGAAAACACAAGTAAACATAAACTTTTCATATGCCGTCTCCTAAAGTTTTTATTTTAAAATCGTTTTATCTCAAAACTCAAAACAAAAATGTGGAGATAAAACAAAATAGTTCTAACATCGCGAAACTAACAGTTTTATGATTGTGGTGTATGGTCGTCTTCTTTTTTTTCAGTTTCACATCGCATTAATAAAATCGATATATTTCAAATAAAAATTTCAGAACACGGTTTGAAGTAATTAGAATCAAGCGATACAGATAGTAATATCTGTTAGTACTAAGAAATTTTATTGCTCTATACCCTATCGTGTAAATGACTTACAATGAGAAACTTTGTTAAAGTTAAAAGAATACATTATTCATGGGCCTCTAAACTCTTATGGGTCCGGCGCACTGACTGCACCCCTCTCATACTGCGTGATGTTTTTTTTACTATATTTGTTACTTTTATTGTTACTATTATTACTATTTGTGTACTTACATTTGTTTGTTTTTTAATCTGTTTATTTGATTGCAATTCGATTTGGATCGAGACAAAAGTTTGCAAGTGAGACGTGAATTTTCAAAAGATGCAAAGTCGCAAAAAGAATTTTGTGCTTATTCCATTTCCAAATTTTTATATACTGAAATCTATCATTTATCTAAATATTAGATCTAATAATATACTCTTGGTCCTAAAAATCGATAGAAAAATTATTAGTTTCTGTTTTTGTGCCTAACAGTCTAGTTTTTTGTCGACCTCTTCAAAATTAATTTACTCGGGCTCAGCATATTCTGAAATTTTCCGAAAATCGTATGATTTTAATTTTTTGGGAAAAGTTGCTTTACAAAAATCCATATTTAGATGTTCAAGTGGTACATTTCAGTTATAATACTACTGGAATATACCACTCGTCAGTCATTCTCATCAGTTTTGTATACTCTTTACTATACAATTTGCAAATGTGAAAAATGTTAATAAAATGTGCTAAGTGTAACAGATATGCCATCAGCAGATAGAACATTACTATCTAGTATTTTAAACATTGGTTTCTATATTATATACATATATATTATAATATATTATATTGCTATGTTTAGCCTGTTAACATTAAATTGTTTTGTTTTGTTTTTTCCATTTTGTGAATATATTCGATAAGGAAATTGTTTTCTATATTGATATTTTTACCAGTAAAATGTTATAAATTTGCTATTGTGCTATTATATTGTGTCCTAAGTTAGTAAAACTTCAAAGAAAAAGTTTTAACGACTTGTGAAGAGGATTAAACTAATAAGCCATAAGAAATTAAAAGACTATCAAAGTCACCCCAACGACGGGGTAAGATTGATAACATTTGGTACTTAAAAAAAAAAAAAGTTCAACCAAAAAAGAATAAAAAATTTAATGAAATCTTTTAAAGGAAAGTTATGATGTTATATCGGCAAAAAAAAAATCAGAAAAAACTTTTTGTTATAACAAAGAGTTTTTTTGCAAAAATACTCAAAAACCTATCAAAGTCACCCCGTTTTACGGTTAGTCATGTAATGCAATATAAAGTGTACAAAGATTTTTTTCGTGTATGATATCTTGACAGATTTTTAAAAAACTAATAAAAACTGGTAGAATATGATATTAGTCATCAGTGGCGTGCAGACCTATTTTGGGGCCCCAGGCAGACTTTCTTGTACCACAATTTTTTTTACCGATTTTAATGTATATTATTATAATGTAGGAAATCATTTCAAAGCACCTTCAGTTAACTGTATTTCAAGAAAAACTTTTACAACTTGGAATATTTTTCCAATTTTACAATCCAATCTTTATGGCCTTAATTATTGCAAACTCTCTTATTATTTCCTCGTACTTTAGGCTAGTGGTTATCATGCTCAATGCTCAGTAATGCTAGCCCATTGAGTTGCTTTTGTAATATGGTGGTCTTCAAATATGTCTCAATCAATTTCAGCTTGGAGAAAGATCTCTCCCTGTAGCAACAGTAACTGGAATTGTTAGTAATATTCGAAGTGCTATACAACGGTAAGGGTACAGCTCTGTCATATTTTTCTTGCTAATATATTGAAGCACTTTAATCGGTGATGTCACATCAACTGGTAATAAGTTGATAATATTTGAAATTTCCGTGAAAAGTTCTTGGCTGTCAATACCACTTCTCCCCTTTCAACCCAGTATTGTTTTCAATTCTTCACAACTAGTCATTGACCATCTTTATCAACAGTCTTAGTATTCTAAAGGAATTCGAATATTCCACACAAATGATTCAATTCAGTAAATCGTTCACCCAACCCATGTATGGCTACTTCTATTTTCTTATTGAAGAAGTTAATCCGTAAATTTTTCATTGGTGTTAACTGTGTTTGTTCAGCTGATTCATTGAGAGATTGTTTTTTGGTCTTTCTCGTTTGAGGTTGAGGCAGGTCAGTATCAATTTGACAACTAGCTGCAATTTTCTGAGCTTCAAATAACAAACTGTCAAAATTATTTCTAAAAGCACTAAAAGCTACTTTACAACTACTGATGTATTGCATAACTAATTAAAGGCAGTGGCGGAACTACTGGACGCAGGACCCTGCGTTGCGGGGGGGCCTACCAGCTATAGGAGGCCCTCATATAAAAAAAGTTATACTCTCAATAATATTTATACTATAAAACTCTTTTCCGCAAAAAAAACATTCTTTTGCGGGGGGGGGGGGGGGCAAATTTTGAAGTTCCGCCACTGATTAAAGGTCCATTTTTTCAGACTGCAAGTACTTGCTTGCAGTATTAACCTGCAGCAGAAGTTCGTACCATATCACAGTCTTTATGATAAAGACATATGATATGGTTCAGCAAAGACAAAGGAATCACTTGTTGAGTCATAACTTTTTTAGTGCCTTCAAAATTTCAGGTAATTGGTTGTTAACAACTTTTACACTTTCTATTGAGATTCCCAGCGTTTCTCACTCCATTTTTTTATTGCTGCTGCAACACATTATTCAATGATTGTCCATCTATGTGGTGATGCTGAGAAATGCTTACAAGCATCGAAGATATCCAAAAAACAACTTTGTGGATGCATTGCTTTTGCCTGCATCAGAGACAGTGAGATTTAATGAATAAGCATCAAACGGATAGGAGAAAGTAAAAAAGTTCTGTTCCAGAATTTGTGTTTGCACTCCTTTGATGCAACCTTTCATGTTGCTTCCATTGTCATATTCTTGTCTTCTGCAGACATCAATATTTATGTCGTTTTCAGTCAGAAGGGTAGTAATTAATTTTATAATTTCTTCACTTGTTTGATCTTCACCTACCAGGAAGCCCAAAAAATGTTCTTTAATTGTTGCAGAACTTTCTAAAATTTCGACAAAATGTACCGGTACACTCATTTGCTCTTTATGAGCCAAGTCTGGAGTGCAATCCAATATGAGGGCAAAGCATTTTTCCACCTTTAGACGATGAATAATTTCAGTTTACTCTGATTCTGTTGATTGATTGTACTATTTGCCTTCAAGCAACTTTCTAGCTCCTTCCATTTTATCCAGGAATTGTTGTGCTCTTGTAAACGATTATGCTCACTTCACATGGAATAAATGTTTTTCCAATCACGAAAGCCACTGGTACTAAGTTTTTGTTTATCGACACTAAACAACTTGCAGCAGAAACAGTAAACAGCTTCTGCTTTTTTTGAGTATACAAGCCATGATCTTATTATGGTTTAATCATTTGTTAGGAATCTATTGTAGTTTGCAGCACAAAATCTTTGTTTTGCTTTGGAATTGGCAAAGCAACTCTTTGGGAAAGCATAACTCTTTACCTGTATTGGTCCTGATAGAACTTATTGTTTTTGGAGATGAGACAAATCATCAGGACAGTCTACAGGATCTGAAGAAATCTTGTGAAGCTCAACATTTTTTGTTGGTGTCAGTTCCCTTGATGTTTTAATTGATGCAGGTTCTGCCGAAGAGTTTGGCACAAAAATATTGTCCTCACCATTTTCATTATTTGCTGCTGTTGTTGCTGCTGCTGCATCATCAACTGCCCATGTTAGAGATTTTTGGAATGGGCAAGACTTGATTTTTGTGTTGCGTTCGGGTGAAAAATAAACTAATTTTTGACAAAAGTTCAATCTTATTCTCATTCTTTTGCTTTTTCTTTTGTTTGTTAAATCCACTTGCATATCTTTGATTCATTCTCAAAGTCTACAGTTTTTAGCACAAGTTATCACATTACACAATTTTCGACATGTCCTGTATCATTGACTGTGTCACGTACGTCCTGAGAGCAATAGACGTCGCGCCAGTCTCTCCAATTTTCCCAAAAGTGAGCAGTATTGATGCACAAAGAAGAGCACGAGCATATAGTCTACATTGAGCAATGCTGTAATGGTCTCCGCTTCAAAGACATTTACTGTAAAATCGTGCGAATATTTCGTAAATTAAATTTTAAATTTAAATGTTTTTTTTTTACTTTAAAATTTTTAAAAAAATTTGAAGCCTCTTCGGGGCCCCTTGGACGTTGGGGCTGCCTGGTTTGCCTATTAGTAGGCACGGCCCTGTTAGTTATGAAATATGACGAGCCAAAAATAAAATTAGAAGCCAAATAAGAACAGGTGTAGATATCAAAAAGAAGCCTACACAAGAGCAGTTCAAAAATCAAAATGATTATTATTATTTATGAATTTCAAAATGTCAGATTTTAAATCTTTTTTTTAAAGTAAACTCAGTCAAATAAAAATTTACATAAAGATTAAATTACAAAAATGACACTCGCAATTTTATTCAAAAAAAAAAAAAAAATAATAAAAAAAATAAAAAAGAATAATTACTTAATTGATTACAAATAAAACATGTTAAATAAATGCTCATTGATAAAAAATAAAAAAAGAAAGAAAATGAGTTTCAAAATTTTTAAAGTATATATATATATATATATATATATATATATATATATATATATATATATATATATATATATATATATATATATATATATATATATATATATATATATATATATATATATATATATATATATATATATATATATATAATTATTTTAATATTTTTCAATCATATTAAAAATTTTTAATTAAATAAATAAAGTATATAAATAAATAAAGTATATTAGTATATTTTCAGTTCAAAATGAGTTTTTTCATTTTCCGTTCGATCCATTTCGGCTCTGATGGTCCGGAATGGTCTGCTATGGTCCATTATGGTCAAGTCTAGTCCAGTGCGGTCCATAAGTATTCGTATAGATCCACTGATCTCAAAATACAACTGGATAGCGGATTCTATTGTTTTTTCCAAATAAGCTGAACCAAATTTGGCCTCCCAAGATGGCGGCGACTTAAGTTCCTAGCGGTGAAACCAATATAGATTTTATATGGCTTTATCAAACTACGATAGAAAATATTTAAATAAGGCTAATAAATTTAACTAAAATTAAAGAAACAAATGAATTTTATAAACATTAGAGAAAAAAAAAAAAAAAATTATTCTTTGAATAATTCAATTTATTATTAAAATTTAATAATTTAACTTTAACAACATTTAAATAAAATTGTAAATGCCATTTAATAATTAAATGGCATTTACAATTTTAGTTAAATTTTGTGTATAATTTATGTTCCTTTTAGTTCTTAGTTACCCAATTTTGTATGCTAGAAAGTTAATAACATAACAGCATGGTAAGCAGCAATCATCTCTACTTGCAATTTTACATTCTCTATTTTATGTAGCAAGATACCATTTTGTACAAATGCTGCATGAACTATTAACCCCTGAGTCAGTATACAGGGGTATACAAACTCAGGGGTTCCTTCTAGAATGTAACAAACTTTACATACATCCTCAAACAAACATTTGTTTCAAAACACCTCCTTGAAATATCTCATTAACTAAAGTTATGTATACTGTTTACCTGCTGTTAAGTATTATAGTTATATGTTATAGTTTTTATAAAGGTTGAATTTTTTATTTAATTAAACTATATGTTGCAGTTAAATAATTATATGAATATGTTGTTAAGTTTATTTGCATAAAAAATTGATTACATCACATTAAATTCACAAAACCTATTTGCAGCAATGCTCTTTGTTTTCCATTTTTTAACATGTTATATAATCATATCATTAGTCTTAAAGAGGTTAACTGTTACTCAAATGTATTTGTCTAGTCTAAAAGCTGGTTTCATTGGATATTTCATTGGCAATTAAAATATATATCTTGACTGAGTACAAAAAGAAGGTTCGCCATAAAATTATTTAACATATAAGCTCAGTCAAAACCATCTAACAAGTTCTTTATTGTGCTGTGAGATCTTATTTAGCTGTAAGATCTACAAGAATGTTTAACAACAAAATCAATTTCCAACAGTTTACAGCCACATTAAACAACTCTTGATGTGAATTAGGGTTCAATTTTTAATGGAAACTGCAGCATCAGAGATAAAACTCGTATTTCAAAAATTTTAGACATTTCTTTTGCTCACTCCAGTACTAAAATATCTGACTAAAATTGAATTAACAATTGACTAAAATTGAATTAACAAAAAACTAATAGTGACCACAAATATGCAGATTATCCAAATTGCAGCATTCTATCTAAATACAAAAAAGCTTTGATCTCATATATTGCCAGATATCTAGCTAAAATAGCATAAAAAAATATTAGTATTAAATATATATATATATATATATATATATATATATATATATATATATATATATATATATATATATATATATATATAAAAGTACAACCAAAATGAAAAATAAAGTACATATAATTATATATTAAAATAATTCTAGAAGGAACCCCTGAGTTGCGTGTACTCACAGAGCTCAGCTCATAGTTCATGCAGCATTTGTAAATTTGTGATATCTATTTGAAAAACTAATTTATAATAGTTTGTTTTAAAAAGATAATTAGCTGCCTACCATGCAGTTGTGTTATTAACCCTCTAGCACACAGCGTTGGATAGTTAAGAACTAAAAGGTACATAAATTTGTACAAAAAACAATAACAAACAATTAATTTATTGTAAAACTAAAATTAAAAGTAAATAAATAAAATATAAATAAAAAATGATTAAAATTATTTCAGTTTTTCACATTTATAGTAATTATTTGAAAGTTGTTTGGAAATTGTTAAATTGGATAACTACTAGGTTCATATTTGTTTTTTATTTCTTCTGATAGGTTATAACTAGTTATGAAATATTAGTGGAACCTTATATTTAATTATTAGGTTATAGGTATAGTTCTTTACTAATGTTGAATAAACTAATTTGAATTAATCTAACTGAAAAATATTATCTTATTTAATTAAATTAAAAAAAAAGAAAAAAGAAAGATATGACACAAACTTATTGTTTGAGTAAATTATTTAGAGTATAATATTTATTGCAATATATAGTTTGAGTATAATATTTATTAGCAATATATATTGTGATAGATGTATTAGTAATATATATTGTGATATTATAAGAGTATAATATTTGTTAGTAATATTTTTGAGTAGATTATTAAGAGTATCGTAAACAAAATATTATATATATTTAAGAAATTTACATAAATATATAATATCGCATTTCTTTTCAAAATATTTGCTATGTAAAACCGAAAATTATATTTGTATTTGAGGCTTGTACGTTTATTTTTATTTAAAAAAGATATAAAAGTTCGTAACCAAATTTTTTCAATTTGTAATCAACTAAATACGCCGCCATCTTGGGAGGCCAAAATTGGCTTCAAAAAATTTGCTGTATACGCCATCCAGTTATATTTGAGATCAGTGGTATAAATCGTATTATTATTATTTTTTTCATTGGGCAAAAATTATATAAAAATTATAAAAAATTTTTAAAAAAGAAGATTTTACAAGTTGCAAAAATTTGACTTTTTAAAAATAATTTTATGTTTTTGTTTGTTCTAGAAATGGGAAACAAAAGCAGTTTGATTAAAAAAGAAGAAAAAAACACATCAAATGATATTTTTCTATCTAACGATGCTTTTTTATCTAATGAGGTTGAAAATGAAGACACAAATATATATCAACAGATAAGAGTAATTGTTATTGGAGCTGGTAAAGATTATATAGTTATAATTATTTTTTATTATTGTTATTAATAATATTAATAATGATTACAACTTATAAATTATAAGTTGTAATCATTATTAATTTTAATAATAATTATTACAATGTTAACGTTTAAGAGACATATTGAGATTATAATATAATCTTAATTTGTCTCTTAAACTTAAATGTCTTTATTAGTCTGCTTAAATTAGTTGTCTTTCAGGAGCAAAAACTAAAAGAATGTCAATAACCTTATGAATAATATAAAATTTAAACACTTAGACAACCAGAACCTTTTATATGGCATTTTTAGACAGATCGTGATTTTTTCTGGCGATAAGTATTTTATCAGTAGAGACTACTTTTTTTGAACATGAAAGGTCAGTAGTAAGCGATAATCCAAGAAGACGTAAAGAGGACGACTCAGTAAGAGGATTGCCATTCATTAATATAAGAATGTTGACCATATTACGGTAGTTGTTTGCAGTAAGCAATTGGGTTTTTTTAGAGTTGAAATTCACAAGCCACTGTGAACCCCAATCTATTACTGAAGTGAGATCAGATTCAAGATCAGCTGCTTGTTCTAGGCGATCAAAAAGAGAAGACTTTTTGTCAAGACAGGAGTATAAAGTTGAGTCATCAGCAAAAAGAGCTACTTTAGATGAAAGGTTGTCAGGAAGATCGTTTATGAAGATAAGAAACAAAACAGGACCTAAGATGGAACCTTGGGGAACCCCAGAAGTTAATGGAAATAAAGAAGAGTGTTGGTCTTCAAGGATGACTTTAATAAACCGGTTAGAAAGAAATGATTTGATAATCTCAAAAACTTTCCCAGAAACACCATATGAAGCAAGCTTATAGAAAAGACCAGCATCCCAAACTTTGTCGAAAGCTTTAGATATGTTGAAAGTAATAGCCCTAGCTTCACCGCCTCCATCTAATGCACGATAAAATCTTTCAGTTACAGCAGTTAACAAGTTGGCCGTAGAGGAGAGGATCGAGCGAGAGGATCGAAGTAATCAAAGAAGTAAATAAATAAATTAAACTTCAAAAAAATACAAGAAATCAGTGCAGAATGAGTTTAAACTTTCATTGCAATATTTTTTTTTGATTCAATGATATAATAAAGTTAGGCGTTGATCCTCAGTTGATCCAATCTGTCTAGTCAAGCAAAATAAAAAATTATTTAAATAAAAATAAATAAAATTAGTTAATAATTTTTTTTTTTCCACTTTTTTAAACATCTGCAGTTATTTCAATGTAGTAGTGTTAGAGTGCTTGCTTCATAAACAAGAAGTTCGGAGTTCAATCCCTATCACATCTCTGGTAGTACCTTGCTTAATTTATTTCTCTGCACAGCAGCCCTGTTTGTCCTGGTTTGTGTTTTGAAGCTAAAGAGTTGAGAGAGGATTGTAACCACAAGTAACCTCCTTGACTGTAGTATGTATATATATATATATATATATATATATATATATATATATATATATATATATATATATATATATATATATATATATATTAGTTGTGGACAGGAAAGGTGTGCAATTGCACTCCGATTTTGACCATGCATGTAATTGACCACAGCTCTTTAGATAATTAAAGACACGCTGAAGAAAACCAACAAAGGAAAAAAGTTATAAACAGGCTAAACTATATAAAAAGAAAGAAATCTTAACAAAAGAGAAATTTATAAAAATTTAAAACCTATAGCTCTAAAAAAAATCCACTAATAAAAATCTGAAAAACTAAAACTCTAATAGAAAATTATTTCTAATTATGTTAAGATTGAATAACTTGTAGCATTGGTTTGACATGTTTAAATAAAAATATTTATATGATTATTTTTTATTTATTTACATATGTTTATATATCAATCTAAAAAAGAATATATAAACAAATAAAAAAATAATAATATAAATAATTTTAATTAAAAAAATTATAAGATTTTTTTGAAATTCTCCTAATACAGTTACAACCTTTTCAAACCAACATGACAAACTATACAACTTTGATCTTTTCTAATGTTTTTATAATATAACTCTTGTTAATAGAAAAAAAAAACTTAAATCTAATTATCATTTAATAAAAACTAACTTTAATTAAATTATCAAAAAGAATTTTTAAAAAATGTTTATTGAAACACATTCATTGTCGTTGTTGTTTAAAGTACAAATTAAAAAAAAATTACATTCATTTAACAAAAAAAAAATTTGGAATTAATAAAAGTTTTTAATATTCAATAGTATTTAATATTCATATAATAATTTATTTAATAGCATTTTAAAACTTTATTTAAAAACGTTTAGCTTTGTGTAAACAAATTTTATTAGAAAGTTTACATAGCATAATAAAATAAATAACACGGTTAGCACGGATCCTTATAATGCCTACCTAGCTGTCCCAAGAACACCACTTATACTAAAAGTTAGCGTACACATCAAGGTACCCTGTGATGCAAATTTTGAAATTATTTAATTTTGTCCACGGAAAATAATTTAATTTGAATGTTCAAATTAAGTCAAATTTTGACTTCATAGTGCGCCAATAAAAACACTTGTAGAATTTGAACCACTCAATATAATTTGATAAAAATTAGTGCAAGTGTAGCCAATAGTCACACTAAACACTCTACAAAATTTCAGCCTGAATGGATGACTGCTGTAGGATTTATTGCAGTTAAAGTTTTGTCAGTTTTTTGCTACTTATACCTCAAAGCGTTACGGATTACTTTGAAATTCGATCACTATTTTTAAAATATCTGTTCCATGAGTGTTCTACTATGTAATACCAACAATTTTTGTTATAATTATTTTATCAGTACATGTACAGTTTTCATTTTATAGACTAAAATAGTGATTTGCTACTTAAAGCGTGATTTGAATTGGCTTATGCCAATGGTGTTGACACGGCCTTCAAAGTGGAGGGGGTCAACCCCTCAATTTCTAAAATAGTTTCATAATTTCTAAAATAGTTGCCTATATTTCTAAACAAAAGGTCCTCGCAAAAAAAAAGTGGGCAGGTTATGTCTCCCTTGACGGCGATGTATGCATAGCGTGAATATATCAACATTTCCTAAGGTATAAACTACTGCCAGAATGCAAAATAATTCTAAAAAAATGGTTAAGGATTTCTAAGGATACCTTCATAGGAAATAAAAATATTTATCTGAAAACAGAGTAACTGTAAAAAAACCAAATATTTTTTATATTGACAAAGATAATTAACTTAAAAAATTTAGATAAGTTAACTAAGATATCTGACCAATACAAAGTTTGGAGGGCCTGTCGGAGGAAAATTACTCTAAATGATTAACTAATTAGGTTGAAAGGTTGTTTTGAAATAAAACAACCCGTGTGACAAGTATCATTAGTTTAATAAATGTGACAATTATCAATCATGTAATTTCCTTACAAGTAAATAGTTTAAAAAATTGTTTCCTGGTAAGGAAAGATCTATTCAAGAATTATTTCCTTACAATTTAATATTGCCTCAATTAAATCAAGTAAATATTTCCTTTATTTTAATAGTTTTTAATTAATAATATGTGTTAATATGTTAAGTGGATTGTTATTAAATATAAATTTAGGTCAAATTTTGTAAAAGGCAGAATTTGATTTAGTTAAGTCAAATTTAGTGAATTGCCACGATGCCAAATCAAGCAAAGAATCATGATGAAAATTGAAAGTTTGTGTGTTTGCTCTGTCTGAAAAAATGTTTAAGACAAAAATGTTTGGCATATTCGATCTACTTTTCAAGCAGATCGAATATGCCAACTGTACAAGATCAAGATCAATATCAGCGATACTCGGGTACCAAAAGGATCCTGCAAATTGTGTAGAATTACTTTGCGTAGGAAACAAGAGGGGAAAGAAGTTGCACTCCCTCCTTTGTTTGATTTTAAGTCAATACAAGTGAAATCTGAAACAAGAGGCACAATGTGTTGTTGTCTAATATGCCGAATTGGTCGTTCAAAGCTGCAAGAAAAACATCCTCTTATAGAGCAAATCACTATTGAGAAAAAACCAAAGGTGGGTTGCAGCAAATGCCTCAGCCCTTTAGGTAAAGGTTTGCCCCACCAATGCTCTCAAATAATGTTAAGGGAAAACATTTAATCTTTAGCAGCAAAAGATGCCAAATCATCTGAACAAATCGCATCTCGAGTTATTTCGAATAAAAAATTATCTCCGGAAGGATCTATTCTACTAGCTAAAACATCTGGCAGGCCTCCACTTACAGTTACCCTAGTAATTATTTATACTTAAATAATTTTAACATATATATTGAAATAAAGTCTTGACTATTAAGAAATAACACTAGATAGATTTCAAGAAGTATATTTTTGACGTTTCTAATTTCTTTAAAAACGAAAAATTTGAAAGTCCTATACAAACTTACTAAACAAAGTTTATTGTAACTATAAAATATGTATGTTTTGGTTTTAGGTCAAAGTAGTGCGCAGACACCATCAAGTGCTCTGAAATTGACCACTGTAGTCCTTGTAAATGTGCAATTAAATACGCGCCTGTCAAACAACGGATTAAAGAAACTTGTTAGAACTATAAACAAAACATCAAGTAGCAACATGGTAGAGCGAAATTTCTACATTAATTTTCTAAGACCAGGTCAACAGTTGAGCGATTTAATCACCTACAGCGACTTAAAAATCACAGACGAAAAAACAGATTTTTTTACAGTTTATGTTGTGCTCACTGCAATGATTTATCAAGTTTTGTGAATCATGTTATTCAGTGCCGCAAAATTTCTGGTGGCTATTATGTTAAGCTGGTGGTAAAGGTTTTCTCAAGTTTTGCCTAAGCATTGTTGATACTGCGTTAAGGGATGAAACCAGCTCACCGCACCAACAACAACCTCTTACTCGAAGGACTGGTAAAGACACTGGAATCAAGAGACAAATTATTGTTGGGGTTTCAGAAGATTTGCCAGAAACACACTCCAATATTGAACAAATCTGGTCACTGATTAATGCAAATGAAGTTTAACTA